TAGATAATCAAGTGAGTGTTTATTATTTATTATGTACCTAATACTATAATAAGTACTATGTAATACAGGAGCATGAGTTCCTGCCCTCCAAGAGCTTAATATGTAGTTCATGATTCCATGAATTTGATTTTAAATATTTTATGATTATTTTAGTATAATTGGTTTCCTTTGCAATTCTATTCATTTAAAAACTTTAATCTGAGGACTTTGCAGACTTCACCAGACTACCAAAGGTATCCATCACACAAAAAAGTTAAGAATCCCTATCTAGTTGGAAAGAAAAGACATATGATGCATGAAGCCAGTAGTGAAAAAAATATATATATTTTTCTATCAGTACAGAATGATTCCGGACAGACTATTAACAAGTAAAACAGACTATAATTATATATTATGTAATAAGAAGAATAAATGTTACCTCTTTGAATAGAATTGTGCATACTGATAAGTACTAAAGTTGAACATTGAATTTGAATTGCTTAGGCTCATCTAATTCCCCTGAAAGATGCTAAGAATGGGAGTTGACACTAAGATAAACTCTTTTAAGTCATCCAGGTGTTTACTTGAAACTCTTCAGACAGTAAGGGATCCAAGAGTACCACTACCAGTAGTCATCAAATGTTTTCATTACAGTGAGTGAAAGTGGGCAGAGTTTACTATGCAATATGTCCTTCAGGTTACATATTCCCTCTAACATATAAATAAATAATGAAATCTTGATTGATAAGAATGAATAAGAACAGGCTTTAACTAATTGAATTGTGGAGTTAACAGGGTTAACCAGAAAACCACTTTGATCTATCAGAGATTGTGGTGTTGGATGATTCATTTTCTTGTAGAAGCACGCAAAGAATGTTGATGTTAAAAATATTTTTCATAGAAGAATTTTTACAGTAATGATGTTGTAAAGACAACTTTGGAAGACTGAAGAACTCTGATCAACTCAAAGACCAACCAGAGAATTTATAATCAACCATGCTGTCTGTCTCACTTTTAGAAGTGATGAACTCAGAGTGCAGATTGAGGCATGATTTGTTTGTTTGGGGGCAGGGGAAGGGGAGGAAAGGCCGAGAGGGATGGGAAGGACATGGCTATTGTGAGAATTTTTCTTGACTACAAAAAATGTTCTCCCTTCCTCAGGTCTTTTTTTCCTCTTCCATCCATCTTCTACATAGCTACTAGATAGATAGATAGATAGATAGATAGATAGATAGATAGATAGATAGATAGATAGATAGATAGATGGATGGATGGATGGATAGATTTTTTTTTTAAAAGGTTTGACTTATGTTACTGCCTAGGGAGCTTACAGTAGCTCTCTCTTACCTCTAGTTCCAATCTACTTTGCAAGGCTTTTTCACATTACTCCCATTCATGCACCCTACAGTCTAGTCCAAATGGCGTATTTGCAATAGCCCAGGACAAGGTGTGATGACCACATATAGAAAGGTTCATATGCAAGAAATATTGTGAATGTAGAATTGACAGGGCTTGGCAATTGATTGGCTATGTGTAGTGAATGAAAGCTTTTAGAAATGATTCAGTAATGGACCACATCTTGACCTTTTCACAATTACTTGAAAATTGTAGAGGATGTGAGATCTCACTGTGCATTATTGCTTGTCAAACATTTGATTCAGTATAACAAAATGCCGTCTTACAGGCTCTTTTTCAATAAAGTGTGTCTTATCCACGCATCAAAAATCTTCCAAGATTCTTTGAAAGACAGAACAACAAAAATAATCCCATTCAGTGATTCTGATCATAAAAATAAAAAGCAACATAAATCAGGAAATAAATGATCACTAAAAGTGCTCCCACTTTGATGGAGAGATTCCAGCAGAGAGTCCAGGTTATAGAGGAATTTCTGTTTGTGGATGATATTGTGCTTAGGATCATAGAGTTAGAGCTGGAAGGGGAAGTTCATCTGTTCAATGCCTACATTTTATAGCCTAGAGAAGGTGAAGCAGCTTGCCCAGGGTTAGAGTTTAGACTCAGGTTTTCTCATTCCAAGTCTGTTGTTTTTCTCCCTGAGCCATGCACAACATAGATGACATCGGCTGCTGAAAAGATTCATAATCACTTGAGTGTTTTTGCTTTATTGTCTATATTTTGATCATTATAATTGTATCAATAATTAGGCGGGCTCAGATTTAAATAGAGGAAAGTTTCATTTCCTCAGATAACTAAAGAGCTCCTCTAATGATCCTAAGCTTCACTTAAAAGCAGAGGCACATTTTTAATACCAACGTTCTACCTGCGTTGCTTTATGACAGCAAGACATAAAATGAAATCATTTCTGAAGAATAAAAAATTCATTTTCCAGAAGGCCATGGAGAGGTGTGTGGTAGATATGAGCAGGCTACAATATATAATGAGGAGTTTGGAAGAAAAATTGAAGTAAAAGATGTCATCAAGAAAATATATGATAAGATGGGCTGGCCACATGGCATGGACAAGGGCTACCTGGTGTACAGAAGTGTCCACTGGTATCCTCTTGATGCAAGGAGAAAGTGAAGGCCTTCAGTCCTTTGGTTGGAACATCTGTAGCACGTTTATCTGAGGATGTGGACCAGTTGTACAAATGGGCAGGCATGGAATGGTTGCCATCTCAGTTACTGAAAGGACATCTATATTGATGAAATCACAGATCTATTTGAATTGCACATGCCTTAGAGACAGCTGGTGGCTTGGATAGAGCACTGAGCCTAGAAGCAGAAAGACTTGTGTACAAATTTGGCCTCAGATCCTTTCTAGCAGCGTGACCCTGGCCAAGTCATTTAACCTCTGTTTACCTCAATTTCCTCAACTGTAAGATGGGGATAATAATAGCACCTACCTCTCAGAGTGGTTGTAGGATTCGAATGAGATAGTATTTGTTAAAATTGTAGTAATTGATGGTATTTGTAAAGTGCTGGCAGCTGGCATATAGTAAATGCTACATAAGTGTTTATTCTCTTCCCTTCCTTATCTACAATTCAGTGGTTGATGGTATGTAAGGAATAGAATTGTCATCTGTCATCCTGATATAAATCCTGTGGTGTTTGTCAATCAGTGATTTGGTTTACTTTGATTTTGTTTGGTATTCCCATGCCTTTGTCTGATACTTTTCTTTTTGGTGTCTATTGAATTTTATTATGCTACCTCTTCAAACTATTATCATTCTGTTTTATCTCCCTTATATTTTGGCACTCCTATCTCCTCATATTCCTTGAAATAAGATGCTTATAAAAAATGAGACTACTTATTCCTTAATAATGAAGTTGAATAAGGTTATGTCAGAGGACTTGAGCTAACTACTACCCACTCTCCTCTGAATGCCCCCTTTTTATGCTGCTGTTACCTTCTGCCATGTTTGACCCCCTTCACTACCATAACACTACCCCCTAAAAATTACCTCTCCTTAAATTTCTCATGGCATTTAGCTCAACTGTCCCCTGATCCTACTATATTCTACCTTATATCATACTTATTTTGTACTAGTCATATTCTTCTCTCTCACCTTTTCTTCCATTAAATTGTAATCTCCTTGAAGAAATTGTTGGGTTTTTGTCTTCTTCCTTTATCACAGGATTTTTATATATAGTATGAGTGTGATGAAAGCCAAGTTTTATACGTAAGAAAACTAAGGCTGAGTTTATGTTACAGAGCCAGGAGTCAAATCCATGTCTTGTGATTCTAGGTTTCATACTTTTTCTTTCCCAAATTTCTACTACACATGAGTTAGAATCAGTCACGGGCATGAATCAAGCTCATTACACAGTCTGTTTCACTCTGTAACAAAGCTTAAAAATCTTCGGATAATGTTGGACTAAAGGGAGAGTGTAAGTATTTTTCTTCAGGGCACCCTATTAATGTCGTGTAATAAGTTTATGCTTATTTAGTTTAGGGAAACCAGCTTTTGTTAATTATCACTCCAAGTCAGCTCTGATGAATCCTTTAGCTTGGGTCATTATTGATACTCATTGCAGTCTTTTGGGGTCTTTTGTTTGTCAGTGATACTGGAGAGAACCTCAAATGTCATAGGGCCCAGTGAATAGCATCAAGGCATGAATTACTTGTACAGGTTCCCTAACATATGGTCTTATGGCTTCTGCTGAGAAACCTACAATGATGGGGATCCTAATACTACTTAAAAGGCAACCCATTCCATTGTTGGAAAATTCTGATTGTTAGGATATTAGTTCTTATACACAAATGCTAAAATTGATCTGTGGTATCATTAATTTGGTCATTCCCTCCAACAGAGCAGACTGCAAACCATCCATGCCTGACAGTCCTGTAAAACTCATTCATGTTCTCCCAGAAACTTTCCACAGAGTCAGTCCAATGTGCTGGAGGCCTTCCTTAATTCTCCCATATTTTAAGAATACCAGGGGAGTATTCTGTTTAGCCAGCTGTCTTCCTTTACTCTTCTTTTTTGCCTGTTTTATAGTTCTGACTGAGATCCTTTATTCTTGTCATTGGTTATATGTTGCAGCTTTGCATTACCCTTTGTAATAGTTATCTGAATAGTTCTTCAGAGGCAGTGGTATTCTACATCTTACTGCTGCATAGCAATACCAGTAGAATTTTATAGTTTGATGTAGTCAATGCAAAGTCATCTGCAAACAGCAGCTGCTAGAAGACCTTTCCACAGATAATCCCTTCTCAGCCTAGACTTTGTGCTGGGTCTCCTCCATCATAGTGGTGAATAACTTTGGCAAACATACATCTTACTGTGTTGTGATTCACCTGATGTATATCATGAGAAGGTTATTGAATAGGGTCATTTCTGTTGCTCCATCTTCCAAGCAGTCCTTGGATCTTGATGTAAGGATGGGAGACCTTTAAAAGAGCCTATAAGGCAGCATATTGTCATAGTTCTGTCCATCTGAACCATCTCAATTAAACTTACTTCTTCCGTATGACAGATTGTCAGAAATTTGAAGGCTTTTTACTTTCTACAGAAAGATGGTGGTAAGAACATAAATTATTTTATTCTTTGGATTTTTCTACAGGTCTTAAAGAAAGTGCTGAAGAGATGGTCAAAAACAAGTTGGAAGGAAAAGATAAACTGACTCCTTGGGAACAATTTTTAGAGAAAAAGAAAGAGAAAAAAAAACTGAAAAAGAAGCAGAAGGTATGTTTAAAAATATTTCTTTTTGAACATATTACTCTGCGAAATTACAGCATACTTTATTATTTAATAATTATTTAAGCATACCACCTAAGTGCATTTTTCAGAAGTAAAACTATTGGCACAATCAGGTTAGCCAGTAGTATAGTGAGGTAGGTGTAAGTCCACTCTAGGTATATTGGTGTTTGGAGTTAGTGGAACATTACTGCAGATGTATAGTTCACAAAATAAGGTCGGCCTTCAGCTTATAGTAGTTAAGCTTTAGTTGTTGTGTTCAGCTAGTTAAGCCTCACCATAGTAGATGCATTGGCAAGATGGCAGGAGCAGCATTCTGCCTAAATTGTCTCCTCACTATCTCACCTTCATTCTTTATACCCTTGCATTTGCACAGTTGTTTTGTCCAAGAGGTCCTCCATTATTGGCTCAATCCACTAGCAGCAGTTGTAGAAGGGAAAGAGACAAAGTAGCAGACAGGAGAAAATGTCTTGCGATTAAAAGTAATACATGTAACTGCCTCTAGTTATTGGCAGATTTGCATTGTAGACCATTATAAAGAAAAATTGAAAGGATTTTACCAGTAGTCATACCTTTAGAATAAATATATATTCTCCAGATGCAATTACTTTTGACTCATACTATTCATTTGGGTTTATAAATTCGAGTGTATATGGATGGGGAAAGAAGAAGCCAATCTTGCTTTATAATCTCATCCTGTGTGGGAAAAAAGGCAGTATTCTGAGTCTTCAAACCACTGTTACAAAGCAGTATGCCCTATCTATGGCTTCAATGGAAAGATATTTCATTTTGTATGTATGGGGGATGCAGCCTTTGTGTTTAGCTGCCATTCAAACAAGTTTTAAGGCTTTTGACACTGTGAAGCAATAACATGGTGACAGATGAGGAACAAAAATAACAACTCAGGTTGATTAATGGCAAATACAAATGTCTTATAACCTTAGAGTTGGAAGTATAACTACAGTGGTTGAGAATATAGAAACTCAGAAAAGCAGAAAGACTTTGTACTTTGACACTCACTAAAGCCCAACAAACTTAATGTCTAATGACCGTGCTTGCTATAGGGAAATTTATAAAGAAAAAAAAGAGAGAATAACAAAACTTAAACATGCCCAGATCAATTTATTTAAAAGTTACTAAGGAGTCCTAAATATTTCTAAAAGTCTTCTCCAGGGTATCATTTAAAACCTACTCCCCCCAAAACTTTTCTGGATTCCTAGACCCTATAACAATATTTATTCACCTACTAATTTGTTGTAGTGTGAAAATATGGCGGTCATGACAAGAAGATAAGAATTTTATACAGTAAAGTATAGTTATGTTGGTTCTGTGTATGTTTGCTTTGGTATCTGATTTCCTTGATTTACGTTTTAAAAAATTGCATAGCATATCATTTACTTGATTAAATATAGTGCTTTTCATCTTTTTCATTAAAAATTGGGTGTTTGCCCTAACCATTATAGCTGTGGGATAGTTTCAGCATAATTGCAGAGTTAGTGGCCATGACAAAGCCTGACAGCATCAACTCAGAATACCAACATATGCCCAAAATAAAGTTTTTAAAAACAGAAGCAGAGGGGAAAGGAAAGAAATCCTTACTGGGAATATTATTCCAAAGAAGAGGAGAAAGAGCGACTGAAGAAATGATTAAATAAAAACAAAACAAAAAGCTCCAACACAACAAATAAATATTATGGAGTTGAGGAAAAGTAATCATCAGAGGAAAAGAATTAATACAACAGTTGGATACTCTCGCCCCATCAAAACTAGACCTACCACAAGAATCTTAAACGTGGTTAATAAGATTATAGAAATAAAGATGCAACCAATAAAGATGGAATAATATTAATAAGGGAAGAACAAAGATGAACTTATACATTGGAACTGTAGCTGGAAATTTTTAGTAATATGATAGTTCTCTTGAGGAGGAGTATAGTTTATGTAAAAGACAAAAATTCCAAGAGTAAGGAAATGAAAAAATAAAACAACATAAATAGATGCAATTTAAGTTCCTTACAAATGAAATGCCCAAAAGACAGAGTTCAGTTCAAGAACCTGAAAATTATTAATCTCCCAGAAAAATATGAAGACTAGAATCAGAGTAATATTTTTCAGGAAATCAGCTAAGAAAATTTCCCTGACAATTTGCAAGTTAAAGCTAGATTTCAGAGTAGTAGAATATACCGAACATCTTTAGAGAGAAACTCCAAATCTAACTTACCCAGAAACATATAGATCATGTTCAGTATCAATCAGTATGTTTATTAAAGAGTCTACTATGTGCCAGGCACTGTGCTAAGTGATAAAATCTATAATAAGCCCTTCGAAAGAAAACAGTCATATCTCAGCAAGTACCTATTGGAATCACACAGGGTTTCTCATTTATGACAAGGAATGATGAATACAGTACATAAAAAGCAATGGAAATCAGCAGTGCTCCAAAAATTGTCTTAACTATAAAATCTGAGCATATTCATTTATGAATGCAGAATTTTTTTTTTTAATGCAACCAAAGAATTCAAACATTTGTACGTAAGAATCCAGTACTAAGTAGGGCCTTTGGCATACCAAACAACCACAAAGCAAAACCTTAATAAAATAAATAAGGCTTTAAAACAAGGAATGAATAAATGGTGGCTTGTGTGTAAACATCTGTATGTACATATGCTTAGGACACTAAGGAAACAGTGACCAAGAACTAAGTGGGAAACCCCACAGAAGGTAGTAATGAATAGATAATAGTGGGGGGGTGGGGGAGATTGAGGATAGGAATTTTGTACTTTGGATGTAAATATAGTAGATTAAGAACAGCAAATGAAGAGTTGGGAATTGAGTTAATTACTAAATTACACTATTTATCTGAAACTAGGAAAAGATGGAGAAGTTTGGAAAAGAATCCATCAGCAAAAATAGAATCCAGCAGGCTATAGTATGGGTAGAAGAAGGTCAAAGAGAGAGAGTGTGTGTGTGTGTGTGTGTTACACATCTCTAAATATTCTAAGCATAGCATTGGATTAGTTATTAGTAAAATATGGTACACTACCTTATGCTAAGTCCTATATCACCTTTTGCCTAGACTATTACAGTAGCCCTCTAATTGCTCTACCTATTCAAGTCTTACTCCACTCTAATCCATACTTAGCACAGCTGCCAAATTAATTTTCCTGAAGTCTAATTTTCACCATGTTACTCCCCTGCTGAATAAATTCAAAATAATGTTATAACCTGGCCCCCTCCTACCTTTCCAACGTTACTTCCTTCCACTCACTCCATGGTCCAGGAGAACTGGCCTTCTTGCTATTGCTCACACACAACCCCCTCATCTCTATGTCTTTGTACAGCCTGTCCCCTTTGACCAAAAAGCTATTGCTACTGCTGAATTCATCTTATAAAGCTCAAAAAATATTATCTTTCTTAAATCCATACAGCTTATCCAAATGGCTTTCTTATGTATTTAAAAAATAGAATTTTATAATATTCTTTCTGAGCTTTGTGGTGCAGAAATTTTACACTAAGATCAGATTATTTAGTTAAAGTCCAATTTACCCAAATGTCATATTGCTTGTCTATATTGTTTATTTTGTACACTTGATTTTGTGAAGTTGACTATACTACCGAAGTACTAGATACTTCAGGACTGGAAACTGAAAGGAGCACAAAATAACCTCAAGCAAGTTAGAATTTAAATGAAAATCAAAACAACAGTTATAACACCAGTACTATACTTCAGGCTACTAATGCTTACTGTTCTTACTATGACTAATATGGGGTGATTTGGAAATTGGGTAAAGATCCTATGTATTAATCTGCTGAAAAGAATGACCTAATGTTGGGATTATATCAGAATTATACTTTGAAATTTTAATATGTAAATAATTCTCAATTTTTTTAATCTGGCTAGTTTTAATGTTAAAAGTTAAACTCATAATAGTTCTTTTAAATAAGAAAACAATGGGAAATTAAGTTCTTTTGCTTTATATCAACAATAATAAGCAGTATCCAATATTTTTCCATGTATTTGTGTTACTGCACTTGGCATTATAACATCTAAAGTACTGTGTTTTTGTTTAGCTACAGTCTGTTAATGAAAAAGAGACCAGTGAAGATGAGCTTCCGTCTGATGTTGACTTGAATGATCCATACTTTGCTGAAGAAGTTGGAAAAATAGGTAAGTCGGTGTTTATACTTTTTCACTGGATTAAGAATTAGGTTAAGATGAAAAAAAGAATAACTTGGAGCCGTTTAGTTTTTAGAAACGCAGTAAATTCCATAATTCCTTGAGTGTCTCAAAAGTATTTCTGTCATTTCTGAGATAAATGAACCTGATTAGAATGGTCCAGTTTGCTCCCTTGCATACATATCAGAACCAGCATGGCTGGCATGATGGAAAGAATGCCAAAATGGAAGTCAAAGTTTGGGTCTCAAGTCTCTACTGTAACACATCCTATCTCTGTTGACTGTGGGCAAGTTACTTAAACTCTCTGAGCTTCCATTTCCTCATTTAAAAAGAGACTAATATTTGCACTGTATACTTCAAAGAGTTGTTGTGTGAGGAAAATGCTTTTAAAAGCTTACAGTATGACCTTGGGCAAGTCACTTAACCCCTATTGTCTCACCAAAAAAAAAAATACCACCTTACAGTGCTACTTAAATGTGTACTATTGTCATGTACACTCTAGACTAAACAGTATAAGGCTACTAATCACACAGTTAATTTAACTAATTGCAAAGATTGCTGAATTTGGCATCAGGGGATAAAGGTGACCTGAGGCCTGCTTTCCTTATTTTTAAGATGAAGGAATTGGATTAGATAACCTCTAAGACTTCTTGCAGACCTAAATCTTTGATCCTATGACCCTGGGCTAGACTCAGGAGCCAAAAAAGATCTTGCAAGCTAAAACAATAGACTAAATCTATTAAGATTAAATACAATAGGCATAAATATAAAGTCTTACACCTGAGTTCAAGAAATCAAGGTGACAGCTTCAGTTTACTTGAAAAAGATCCAGGAGTCTTAATAGACTTTTAGAAGCTCAGTATGAACCAACAGTATAATAGAGCAGCTAGAGAAGTGAATAAGATATTTGGCTATATTAAAGTAGTTACAGCTTTTAGGAAAATAAACTATGGGAGGACATGAATAAGAATCCCACTGGATAATTTTTAGAGGTAACGTGCAAATCAAAGAGATCATAAATCCACTTGAGTTTTTAAGGATTCTGCTGTACTTCCTTGTGGTAAAACTAGGCAGCCCATAAAGCATTTTTAAAGCACATTCTTTGTGCCAGGTATTGTGTACTAGATGCTAGTGATGCAAGGACACAAATGAAACAGCCCCTGTATTCAAGTAGCTTATCTTCTGTGAGAGAAAAGATATATGTATATGGAATTTTGTGCAAATTATTGAGAACAATTATTTTTATGTTATTTACTTTTTGACAGCATTATGTGTGTGCGTGTAGGCTGACTCAAAATGTCTGATCTCAGCCAGAATGAAACTTAAACAAGTTTCCCCAAATTTAGTTAGGTCTCTGTCATTTCAGTGCTGGACTGCTAGATTCTGTGCCATACGTGCTTGTTTCATTGCTTTCTTTTGTTTTGCTTTTAATTCCATTATTTTTAAGAATGATTGTTACTCCATGGTCATGTGAAAAAGTTGTAGTTCTCAGAGAACATATTTCATTGATATTATACTACCTGTTTTGGGAATTCAGCCTTTTTAAGGATCATTCAAACCAACAGTAAAATAAAATCAGTCACACAGAAGAACAAAAGAAAGCATGGTTGGAAATGAAAAACAGTGTCAAGAATAGACAAACTGTTGTTAAGAAGCAATCTAATTAATCCTCAGAAAACAAAGACCTTAAAAAAGACCTGATAGCTGAAGATGTTGTTATTGATTCCTCTGCAGGCCTTACAGGCTTCTTGACATTAGAACAGTGAGAAGATTAGTTTTTTTCTTGTTGTTGTTTTTTAATAGCTGTTAATAGTTGCTATGAATAAATAATGCATATCACATACAAGACAATACAAAGGCTAGAGTCCTAAGGATTGGAAAAGAGAACTTTTTGGTCAGTCAGTAAGCATTAAGTGCTTACTCTGTGCCAGGCACTATGCTAAGTGCTGGGAATATAAATACTACCAGAAATAAACAGTACCTGTCCACTAAGACCTTACATTCTAATGGAGGAAGACAGCCTATAAAAGAAATCTGAAAGGAGGTAGGGCAGGGTACCCGACCTGGTACATGGTTAAGAAAGTTCACAGAGTCAGGAATACAGCTTGGAGAGGAACACAGGCATGGCTGCCCTGGTCCAGGAATTAGCCAGTCACAGGAAGACTCCATGGGGACAATGTAGGCAGAACACTCCAGGATGAAAAGATTTCTGTAACAGGATAGGAAAAGTCCAGAGAGTCAGGACTGCTGCCTGAATAACAGGGTTTCTGTTTTGGGCTGGAGGAGTAAGGGGGGGGGGGTTGTTTTTTGACAAAACTCACTTTTACATTCAGGGTATACCAGAACTGTTATGGGAAAAAAATCTAGGGGAGGGAGGAAAGAAGAAAGAATTTATTAAACACCTACTATGTTCCAGACACTGAACTAATAAACACTTTATAACAATTATCCCATTAGACCCTCACAACTACCCTGGACATTATTTCTGGCAGTTTTGTTCATTCATTTCAGTTGTGTCCAACTCTTTGTGACCCCCATTTGGGGTTTTCTTGGCAAAGATATTGGAGTAGTTTGCCATTTCCTTTGCCAGCTCATTTTACAGATGAGGAAACTGAGGCAAGCAGGGTTAAGTGAGTTGCCCAGGGTCACACACTTAGTATCGGAGGTCATATGTGAACTCTTCCTGACTCCAGGGACAGCACCCTATCCTCCGCGCCACTTAATTGCCCCTGTTTCTAGCTGACTTGTGCCCAAATACAGAGTATGGTATTAATATTTTTCTTCTACATATAGTAGGGGACCAGATGTGTAAGAGATATTGTGAGGGTAGTGTCCCTAGAATGGAGAGAGATGATTTTGGCATAAAGATGAGTTCCGCTTTTTGAGCATGTTGGGTTTGAGACTGTTTTTCCACTTGAAAACGTCCTGTAGGGAATTGGTGATACAGAACTGGAACTCAGGAGAGTGCCTAATCCTAGGACATAGAGGTCTTAGAGCTATACAAAAATATGGTAGCTAGCCCCTTGGGAGCTGATAAGATGACTGAGCAGTCAGTGTAGGAAGCACAAGAGAAAAAGGCCCCAGAAAGCTTTGCAAGGCTTGATGTGGATGATAATCTAGCAAAGAAGATCGAGAAGGAACACACAGACACTTTACATAGTGCCTTCTCTATGAGATTACCTTGCATTTATACTGTATATATCTTTTATGTGTTTTTGGCATATTGTCTCCACCATTAGAATGCGAGCTCCTCAAAGGTAGGGACCATGTTTTTTATTTGTATACCCAGAACTTTGAGCAGTCCTTGGTCAGCACTTAATGAATATTTGTTGACTAATAAGCTAATAGAAATTTATGGTGGAATGTATGAATGAAAAAGCATTAATTAAATGCTTATGTGCCAGGTACTCTGCTAAACCCTAGAGAAACAAATGGAAAAAGTTAGACAATCCCTGCTCTCTAGGAGCTCACATTTCAATTAAGTGAGATAACACATGAAAGAGAGTTCAGCTGCAGGGCAGATGTCAACCTAGTTAACTTGGCTATTTGATGTCTCACAGCACCACCATTCAGAGCACATCTGAAGTGCTATAGTTGAGTTCTGGGCACGAAATTTTAGGAAAGACATTGATAACCTGGAGAATCTCTTCAGAAAAAAACAGCCAGAATAGTGAAAAGACTTGACTCCATATTATATGAGAATCACTTGGAGAGTGGGTGTTTAGTCTTGAGAAGTGAAAACTCAGTAGAGACATGAAAGCTGTCCTCAAGGATTTGAATTACTATTTATGAAGAAAGGATTAGACTTTCTCTTTGGTCTAGACCAAGGGTAGGGAACTTGTGGCCACGAGAATTCAGTCAGAGGGCTGCATTTGAGGACCTAGAGGGCTGCATGTGGCCTTGAGGCCACGGGTCACAACTCCTGGTCTAGATCATGGAGTTTGGAGCACTGGGTAGTTTGCAAAGAAACAAATGTAGACTCGATGTCAGGAAAAACTTTCTAATAATTAGAGCTATCCGAAAGTGGAATTGGCTATCTTAAGAGGTAAAGGGTTACCTATCACTGGAAGTCTTTCAGCAGAGACCGATGATATGTTAGTATAGGGATATTCTTTCAGGTGTGGTTTGGATCAGTTGGCTAGTGTGGTTCTTCCATCTGTGAAGTCTGTAATTCTGAAATACATCAATTGCTACAGAGCCTGACATATCTAATGAATTGGAAATGCTTTAGAAGGTGCTTTATAAATTATAGTAATTAAAATCAAGTGTGTATATAGAGACAGCGTAGTCTTGTGTAATAGTATTGGAAAGCAGAAGGCCCGAATATCCATCTCAGCCCTGCTCCTTTGTGACCATAGGTGACCTGAGCAAGTCATTCAGCCTCTATGGGTTTGTTTCCTTTTATGTAAAATGAAGGGCTGGGATTTGATGATCTGCAAGATCCCTGCCAGCACTAGGTGGGTAACAGGCATTTATTTATTAAGTTCTTATTGTGTGCCCAGGACTATGCTATGCATTGGGGATACAGATAGAAGAAGAGCAGTCACCTTACAGTGCCCATGTGCTAATGGGGAAGACAGCATATTAATAGGGTTGGAGGGGAGGGTGAGATAAGAGGTGGGATGTGGTGACAAAATCCTTAGAGTCAGATGCCATAAGTGAGAGGGGAATAAAGTATCGCTGTCTGTGCCCATTCCCCAAAAGTAATTCACCAGTGGAAGAAAGGCTCTGTCATGACAGAAGAACATTGCAAGGGGAGAGAACAACTGAATCATGCGGTAGAGTCTTTAAAGTCAAAAGTACATCTAGAGTAGTAATAATAACAATAACTGACTTTTATGCAGTGCTTCCAAGTTGCAACATATTATTTCAGTTGAATCTGAAAACCTTGTGAGGTAGGTACTATGGATTTCATACCCCCTTGTTGCTCTCAGATAAAGAAACTGAGGCTGAAAGGTTGTGACATACTGGTGGTCACACAGGTGTCACAT